CTGACGCGCTGTGCGGGTCTGACCTGCGCGTCAAGACCCTGGACGGCCGCACCCTGGACGTCCCCGTCACCACCGTCATCACACCTGGCTCCGCCAAGATCCTCAGGTGGGGCGTGACGGAGGGCAGCCCGTTGATGACTGCAAGCATGCGTGTACGTGTGCGCGATCGTGTGTGCGAGTTTGTGCGCATGTGTGTGTGTGTGTGTGCTTGTGTGTGCTGTTGCAGTCGGTGTGGTGCAGCGCGGGGCCTGGGGCAGGGCATGCTGTGCCCGGCACACCACTTGTCGCCGCAGTTTGGAAGCCCCCCTGTGCTTGCCAGAGCCTGTCCCGTGCGCACAATGTCTCAGACGGGCTGAGCCTTTTGGGGCCTCACGTGGTCCGTGTCTCATGCCGCAATCTTGCCGGCTGGTCATGCAGGGGGGAAGGCATGCCTGTCAGCAAGACCGGTGCCAAGGGCGACCTGCGCATCAAGTTCGAGATCACTTTCCCGCGGCAGCTCACACCGGAGCGCAAGCAGCAGCTGCGCGCCCTGCTGACCGGCGCCACATGACCCGGACACGCGAGGCGTGCTGGTTGCGGCTGGCGGCGATGCCGCTGCATTGCAGTGCCGCCCCCGCCGAACGGCTGCACTGCTGGGCTACGCGATGTCCTGCCTGCCATATTCTCCCACATATTCTCTGTCGGTTTTGAACGCGTGTGCCGCTTCATCGTCGTGTCGTGGGGCTTTTGTGCAAGGGCTGTCTTGAGCTCCCATGCAACCAGTGCTTGACAGCTGGTTGGGCCGCTCCCAGGTGCATGTGTTGCAAAGCCCCCCTTCCTGCACAGTTTTGCACAGTTGACCACCGGCCCACGCAGCCCCGAGGATGCGGGGGTCGACGCAATCAACACGACGCCGCAGATGGTCCTAGCCCCGCAGCGGCATCTGCGTTCACGTGTGCACTAGCTGTAATTCAGGCCTGTCGCTGACGAATCTTCTTGCCAGCGGTGGACCGCCACGTCACAGTGTGTTGTACTACCCACTCCAGTTTGGGGGGAACGGGGGCAGTGGTTGAGCGCCGCCTGTCGTGGCATTCACCATGCCGAGTGTATGACATCAGAGCAACTGTAGCTTCCTTACTGGGCTACCTTGTGGCTCAGGCTGCATTCGGGACGCCCGCTCAGCACTCGTGCTAAGGCTGGTCCTGCTGACCTGGTCAGGTCGAGGTGAGCTGTGCTCTTTGCGCGCCAGGGTCAGGACAGTGGTTAAATTGCTATGGTCACAGCAATACAACTAGATGATTATCCAGTGAGGCGTGTCATCATATCCCTTCTGAATCGCAGACATCTGCGACGCTCCTCCAGATCGATATCGCAGCTAGATCTATATGAGAACCGCGGCCCCAGGCCAAGTTGTGGCTAGAACATCTACAAGAGCGCAACAGTGTTTTCGACAGACATGCTCTGTGCCTGCCAGCCGGCGCGATATCTGCCGCCGCCTGCATGCACTGCAAGGCGGTGGCGATGGCAACGGCAGGATACCACCGGGGACGACAGAGCGGCTGGCAGCCCGACTCATCTGAAGTGGTGAGGCGTCTATGCGCCCTTCACATACCAGGCCTGCATTTATTGGTGTCTCCAATTCTGTTTCAAAACGAAAGGCTCGTCGAGCGCAGGTGCAGCAGCGTTTTCCGCAGTGTGCTGACCTTGCCATGCGGCCCCCATCACCGCCAGGCATGCTGGGCTCTGTTGCGGCCGGCGGCGCGTTGCTGACGCACATGGACCTAGCCCGCATGCTGGACTGGGGCGGCCTGCCCGGCTCGCTGCCGGCGCTCGCGCCGCTGTTCGGCCCGCTGCTGCTTCTCGAAACCACGCTGCTCGCCGTGCCGTGGCGGCTGCCCGCGGCGCTCCTTGAGCAGGGCGCCTCCAACAACCCCAAAGACACGACGACTGATTTCAGCGCCAGCGCTTCCATGAGCGGAAGCAACAGCAGCATTGGCAGCACGAGTAGCAGCAGCAGCGGCAACGGCAGCGGCGGCGGCAGCGCTGCCGAGCGTCGCGGCGTGGGGGACAGCAGTGGGGCCGTGCGGCACGCGCAGCCCCCAGTGGACCTTGACCTTCTGGAGGCTGCGGGCTGGAGCCCCGCGGCGCTGCAGCTGGGGCTGGCAGAGTACCGGCGCTCCGCACTGGTGGCACCCGGCGCTTGGGGCCGGCCGCCTTTGAGGGTGCGCAGGCACACCCCTAATCGCATAGCGCTCTTCCTTCAACCATCGCTTTGGGGGGCAGCGGCCGGCTCGTTCCTGCTTTCCCTTGTCCCAAACGGCACAATGCATGTGCATGCTGCACTGTGCACCACCGCGCCACTCAAAATGGACGCACACTGTTGTTGCGCCACCTTCATCCCAAATCTTTCCACTCTGCAGGTTGAGGCGCCATTGGTGGCGGCGCGCGCCGCTAGCGAAGAGGCCCTGAGAGCGTTCACTATCACGTTCTTGGGCGGCTGGGGCGCTGGCAGGCTGCTGGAGGCAGGCCTTGAAGATGTCGTGCGGCTGCCGGCGCTGATGTTATTTCTCGTCACCGGCGACGGCGGGGACGTGGAAGTGCCCCTGCAGCTGCTCGCCCGTTGCCTTGCAGCGGGCGTGCTGACGGCCGTGCTGCTGCCTGTGGCCGCCATCGGCGCCGCGGACGCTCAGGAGGCAGCGGCGGCAGCGCTGCTGCTGGACACTGAGGCAGGCCGCGCCGCGGCGCGCGCCGTGGCCGCAGACGCGGCACCGCCAAAGCGCCGCAGCCGCGAGTGGCGTGCGGAGGACGCCTTCCGAGTAGAAGAGGAGGGCGGGCGGGCGGCGCAGGCTGTGTCAAAAACGGAAGCGGCACTGGATGCTTTGCTGGGGCAGCTCGGCGGCGCTGGGAGCGGCGGCGGCGGCAGCGGTGGTAACAGCAGTAGCAGCAGCAGCAGAAGCAGCGAGGTCAGCAAGCAGCTGCCGGCCACAACAGCAGGGGAGGCGTCTGCACGGCCTTCCCAGCAGGAACAAGCAGGTTGTAAACCTGAAAAGGAGGAGGAGCAGGAGGAGGAGGGGGACGAGGAGGTTGACCCTTTGGTGCTGGAGTGGCGGGTGCAGTTTGCAGGGGAGCGCTGCGCCAACAGCGTCCCCGCCCGCATCGCCGGCTGGCTTGCTTTTACACGCGGAGCGGGGCGCCTGTTTGCAGCCAACGTCGGGTTTGTGGCGTCCGGCGGCAACCTGGCGGCAACGCTGACTGCAGTGCTTGCGCTGAGCGCGCTGCGGCTCGGCTGCGCGGTCGCCAATGGGCGCCGCGACGGCGATGGTGGGGCGGTTGCCGGCAGGGCCGGCCGCAGAAGCGGCGAGTAAGCGACCCAACCCTGTCAACGTGGTGCCTGGTGCAAGCGAGTGTGGCTGGGCGGCAAGCTGTGCCCCGGGCGCCGCTGATTGCTGGGCAGGTCTGTTCGCATCCGCCCTCTTTACCATCATGCCATTTGGCTGCTTCCAGCAGCAATGAGCGGCATGGGGCGAAAGGCTCTGAAGACTCGATGCAGCTACCATACAATTACAAACTCGTACAAGTGGTGGCGTGCAAGGCGGCGCGTGATCGCCCAGATGACACATGGGTCATGCCAGCAAGCATCCGCCAGGCACAGCCAAGACAAAGTGCAGTCCAGCCCAAGCCCCAGCCCCAGTCCGCATCGGCGACTCAGGGGGCCGCCGGCTTTGCTCGCGGCGGGTTGCCACCAGCAGCCAGGTTGTAGAGGCAGAATGCTGTGAGGGCGCCGCTGAGGGCCAGCATGATACCGCTTGGCACTGGAGACAGCCCCGCACCCACGCGCTGCCACATGGCGTGGGCCACCCAGCCAGACGCGGCTGTGAGAAAGATTTAAGGGAGTGCAAGGATTCAAGAGAGTTGGTGAGAGAGCACAAGCACAGGGGTTCGGTACCGGGCCGGCGCAACACGCAGCCAGGTGTGCCACAAGCAGGGGTCCTGCTACTTGTTTGGGCAGATGAACGGGTCTTTCGGATCCCCAAAGCCGTAAGCATACCGCATGCGCAACAGAGGTGCGCGGCTGCTCCTCACCTCCAGACACGACCGTGAACGGCAGGGACGAGCCGCCCGCCTTCCAGGCTTTCAAACTGAGCACCGCCGCCAACAGGACGGCCGCCCCCGCCGCTGCGACCTGCCAGCCTAGCGTGCCGGCGCCGAAGAGCAGCGAGACGAGGCCGCCTGCCGCTGCAACGCCGCCGTAAGGGATGGCCATGCAGAAATCGTGGAGTGCGGCATGGCGCCCGTTGCCAGTAGCCTTGATTTGGTTGACCGTCCAGGGCGGTTGCGCCGATCATGTTTGGTTTTTGGGGGGGGAAAAGTCAATGCGGTCAGGTGCTGTGTGCATGTTGGTGCTGTCGACTTTGCAGCCAGTCTGACAAACCTACAGGTCACATTTGCTGGCAGCGATCACGGAGGTGAATGCGTGCATGGCTGCCTGGGTCGCTCTCGGCATGCCTGTGTTGCAACGCTGAGCTCACAGCGCATGAACAGGCACGTGCTGCCCGATCACAGCCTTGATATCATCACTCTTCCATTGCAAACCTTTGTCATGACGGCGCGGTCGCTTTGACACCGGGGCGTGATGCCGATCGTGGCCCAGGCAGTGTTGGGCACCACTACAGCAACCCTGTGCGCCCTGGTGCCAAGCTTATGAGCAGGCGCACGGATCAGCTGATTTGCGCTCAACATTCGCTGCTATGTTGTGGGGCGTGCCTCGATCTGATATTTGCGGATCTTGAGCTAAGTTTTGCATCAAAAATATCAGTGAACGTGACGAGGTTTTACGTGGTGGCCTTCATGTTCTGACCTGTGCCCAGCAGTTCGGCCGGTGTGCCAGAAGCTGCTCTCGTCCAGTGAGTGCAGTGGTTCATCATCATCAGGTGGTCCAGGCGCTGCCTGCTGTGGGCGTTGGGAGGTGCCTTCGATGGAAGCGTGCGGCCTGCCTTCATGTGAAGCTGTATGGTGAAAGACTGCGCGCACAGATGCACATTGCAGCGACTGATCCTGGATCCGCCCAACGTCGCAGCAGTTCCCGCAAGGCACTGGCAGCCTGCTTGAGCCAGGTGCTTAGCATGAGCTCAGGCGTCCTCTATGCGTGCAGGATGAGAAGGCTTTCGTATGTCCATGTGTATAACACTCAGACTGCTTTCAGTTTGGTATTGGACCTGAAGCGCAAGCTTGTGGTGGCAGCTGCTAGTGGTGGTTTTGGCAATGTATGTGCTTGTGCTGCGACCTCGACAGCCACTCATGAGCGCAGCGCACTGTACACAGAAAACTTAACACAATCCAAGTGGGAATGGTCGAGACAATACGACTGAAGCGACCATGATGCTTGTCACGCGACAGCATCGATGCGATGCCCATGCAGGAGTGCGGGCGATGGCTGCAAGCGCCTGCCGGTGACCGTTTATGTGGCGGAGCGCTCTGGCAGCCCGCAGCGAAGCAAGCAGTCGTATAAAGTCTCCGAGGTGTCCCCGGGCTTGTAGAACTTGCTTTCAATGATGTTGAGCAGCGGGCGTCGAAAAGGCGCACTATTAGGGCGAGAATTGGCACACACAAGACAACGTCCCAGACCTCCCACTACGTTTGCAGAGTGAACACGCGAGCTTCGTGCCCCAAGCGCAATACGAAAGGTGTCGCCGCGCCAGAGTTGCAAAGCGAGCGGTAGTGTATGATAGGTCGGGCGGCGCCCCCCGGGCTCGTGTGCCCTTCTAAGACGATCAGTAAGGTCTGTAGGACGCCGTGAGGTGGGCGGCAAGTTCGTTGCGAGCAGATCAGCGCAATGTTGTGTGCTGCCCCAAGTACTACTCGGCCCACTATCACTCTCACAGCTTGCGCTGGCATTTGTTGAGGAATGAGCCCTTTGTAAGGCGCGGCAACGTGGGCCGGGGTGCTTCCAGCACGAGCGAAGCAATGTGCTGCAAGGATCAAACGACTCGATTGTTGTGTTCCACCCTGCACCCAATACCACCTGCCTCCAGGAGCCCCGGGGACCTTAAGTTGCACCCCATTGGTGGCCGCACCGTGGCCGCAACAGGGGGGGCGGGCTGACCGCCGAGGAACGTATGGGTGACCATGGCGCGTCTGAGCAAGAGATTGTGAGGGCGCTGAAGGAGGTTGCTGCACGGCAAGCGGTGGGCGCTAACGGCGCCCCGGCCGGGCCGGTGCTAACCGCATTGCCCCTGCCTGGCTCGGCCGCGAACGGCGCCGCCGAGGCCCTCGCCAACGGCGCACCAGGCGGCAGTGGCGGCGCAGCCGGCGCCCCTGACCCGTGGGGCGTGTATGGGAAACTCGAGGCCCCGCAGCCCGCGATCGGCGGCGGTGGTCTGCAGATTGCGCAACTGCCGCGGCCCGGCCAGCCGCCAGGCGACCCGCTGACAGCACTGCAGCCACTACCGCTGCCGCTGGCAGCGGCACCTGCGCCTGTGAACATGCAGCAGCAGCTGCAGCAGCTCTTGGCCGCTCAGGCGGCTGCTGCCGCGCAGCAGCCGGGCGGCGGTGGTGGTGACGCGGGCGGTGGCGTGATGCTCCAAATGATGATGGCCGCCTTCGCGGCTGCGGCGAACATGCAGGGCGCGCAGCCTGCAGCCGGCGCCGCCGCGCCCGTGGCACCAACAGTGGGCGGAGTCGACCCGGCTGCGCAGCTCCAGCAGATGATGGCTCTGATGGGTGCACAGCCAGCGCTGCAGCAGCAGCAGCAGCAGCAACAGGCGGGCGTGGCCGCGGCGGACGCCGCCGCAGCGGAGCAGCAGCGCAAGGGCCGCCGTCGCGAGGGGCGTGCCCAGCGGGAGGATGAGCTGCCCCCACGTCAGCAGCGCGCGGCGCGGGCGCGGAAGAAGCCGCGCAAGGCGCAGGAGTGGAGCGAGGAGAGCGACGAGGAGGAGGACGAAGCCGCCGCAGGCGGCGGTTCCACCGGCGCCAGCGGAGACGAAGATGGCGACGACGACGGCGCGCCGCCGCCGGC